ATAGAATTTTCGCATTAATTATGCAAATTAGGTCATCATTTGCATAATTAGTATCTGTTGAAGTTCCACCTGCCATAGGTTACATACATTACATGTATGTAAGTAGTATAATGTAAAACACTGTAATTAAGGAATTTCCTCATTAATTATGCAAATAAAGTCCTCATTTGCATAATTTGCATTTAATTATGTACATCTCTCTCTCAGCTACCTACACACCAAAAATAATGAAAATATGTTGTTCCTGTCTGGACTTATTGGCTTTTAAACATTTCGCCAGAAAGTGCCCTCGCAGTTCCAGAACAAGCCGCTAGGGGGCCCAAACTCATATGACTTCTTCCCAAGCACGAGAGCTACCTTCCATTAAAATTTCATGACCCTAGCATGTCCAGATCGCGAGATATCAAAACCGGAAGTTGCGCTGCAGTACCAAGGGAAGCCACTAGGGGGACCAAAATCTTATCATTTCCAGTTTTTGTCACACCCTACCAACACACCAAGTATGAAACCAATCCATCCAGGCGTTCTTGAGTTATCTTGTTGACCAACAGACAGACGGACAGACGGACAGACGGACAGATAAACGCAACTGAAACTAGAATTCCGAGATCCCATACCTCCATGAAATATGATCTTGATATGTAAATGTAAATTTCTTCTTTAATTGTGCAAATGACCTCTGCATTAACATGATATATGCATCGTGATGTATGTTAACTTTTGATTAACTTACAGATGTCCCAAGTATGACATTCTCATCATTCACCATTACGAAATCATAGAATTTTCGCATTAATTATGCAAATTAGGTCATCATTTGCATAATTAGTATCTGTTGAAGTTCCGACTGCCATAGGTTGCTACATTCATTACATGTATGTAAGTAGGGGGGCCAATCCCCCCGAGGTTTGGTGTAGAAAACTGGAAAAACAGACATTTTCCTTGGAAAAACTGCCATATCTACCTTAAACTGCAACATTTCTAGTTCAAATTTCGTATGTCTGTTGACAAATAGGTTGTTTCCATGAATATATAACAGTTATTCTCGTAAAATTATACATCACAGAGTTTTTGACATGTTTTGGGGACCAACACCTCACCGAACCGCCGCGCGGGCGCGCGCGGCGAATCTGCTGTCACCAACTCCCGGAGCTATGTTTTTGAAGGCCGTGTACGGGCATGTTCCATTGTTCCCATGCACTAAGACACATAGAAAAAAGTAGCAGAACATTCCTGCCCGCAGATTACCATGAGTTTCCTGCGAGGTTAAGCTTTTTTTGGCCAAAATTTTCAAGAATTTGGACTTCAAAAATATCTAATAAAGTAAAAACAGTAAAATCATAAAAAGAAACTGCGAGTGGAGGTCAGAGGTCAGTCTCCCAAGGGAGACGTGTCTTCAGCGCTCTTACACATGTTTGGATTTATTTTCTGTTTATTCGCTTTTTGACTCTTCGGAAACGTGCCATCTTGTGTCGGAAGTTCCCTAGAAGCAGCCTAGCACCAACCAGGCTGATAGACAAGCCAGGACACAGAGGCTGATCGAGAAAGGAACACGGCAGCATGGCTGGGAGAAAAGACATGGCGGCCGCCATGACGCAGCCCCCCGAAGTTACACCTTCAACAACGCATGAGAAGTCGGCTACAGGTACTGTAACCCCAGGTTGTAAACCCGTCTTCTTTCTAGAGAGAGATGTGCACTATGTCGACGTCTCTAGAGACGAGCCGTACTTCACAAATGTTGAAGTGTATAAAGGAATTTCGCGTTTTCTTCACGGAACAAAGATCTCCGGAATTCAGCAAGTGCGTGGAATGTGGCGAATTTACATACGTGAACCAGCCGATCGCGCCAAATTGCTGGTAACTGGATTTACTCTCCGCAATAAACATGTTGAACTCCGAGATGTGCATCCTTTCAGACAACAGGATGGAGTTCGGGTAACAGTTAGAGACGTCCCTCTGTCAGTGGATGATAACGTCATCATGGAAGGCCTGAAGAGGTATGGCGCGAACCTTCTAGGGCCATTGAGGCGAGAAAAGCTCAGAGTGGATGGAAAGTTAACTAATTGCGAGACTGGGGACAGGTTCGGGTTCATGCGGGAACCTGCTAGCCCTGCAGAACACCTGCCCAGAAATGTTGAGTTGGGCGGTCGATGGAGAGCCCGCGTATTCTATCGAAACCAGGGATTCGAGCAACAATGTCTTAAGTGCCTAAGCAAAGAACATCTGAGAAAAGACTGTACGTCTGATTGGCGATGCTCCCTCTGCAATGAGCTTGGGCACAAGCGAGCTGACTGTGCTGGTCTTTCAGCAGCCGGTGTGAACAGTAGAGAGGCGCCAGAGGAGCAGAGAGATCGGGACAATGACCGCGGCCCTCTGCTTGACGTCTCAGGCCTTAACTTACCGGAGGTTCGATCCTCTGAAGACACTGATGGTGAAACTGGAAAAGACGAAACGGCTCCACCGACTAGTGGGCAACGCCAGATTACAGACTTCACCACAAAAAGAGGCAGGAGAAAGAGAGGGAAAGGTCCCAAACCTGGAGGTCAGCCGGTTGCCAGAGTGACAAGAAGTGCTGCCAAGAACAGTGACAATAACGTATCCAGAAGAGGATTGGCTAGACCAGAGCCACCCAGTGGTAGCAGCCAAGTACATGAACCTGATCCTAGGATCACGGAACTGATTGAAGCAGGTCGTTACTCATGGAGTAACCCTCCAGGTACTGAGGCGATCAGCTCATCGATGTGCTCAAGTGACGACGAAACATGAACTCTTACGGACTATTGAACTCGTGTAAGTGATTAATTTGTTCCTCATGACAACTAATATATCATTTATGTCACTTAATGTCAGGGGATTACGAGGTACACAAAAGAGACGAAGTCTATATTACTGGTTTGAAAAACAAAAAGCTGATGTTTTCCTTTTACAGGAGACATATTTTACAGATGATAAAATTAATATCTTTGAATTAGATTGGAATGGCCCCCAGTTCCACGACTTTGGTGGACAACACAGTAAGGGTGTGTCTATACTTTGCAAGAAAAACATAAAGTTGGACGTTATGGAGGTAATAAAGGGGCAGGATGGTAGAAGATTAATGATTAAATGTAAAGACTTCACTCTCTTGAATGTGTACGCTCCTTCCGAGCGGGGAGAACAAGTATCGTTTCTCACTACGCTAAAAGACTGGATAGTGGTAAACAATGTGGATAATCTTGTCGCAGGTGGTGATTTTAATATGATTAACGATCTGGTCTTAGACAGGTCCAGCAAGAGACAAACCCAATTTACTGCACCTGAAAAAGCACTTAGCAGCTTTAAAAAAATGTTAAGCCTCGTAGACATATGGCGGGAAACACATCCCCATGTACGACAGTACACCTGGAGGAGACAAAATCCAGACCCTGTTTCTAGCAGATTGGATTTTTGGCTTATCCACAGATCGCTAGCTGCGCATGTAGCAATATGCGATATAAGATCTTCTATTAAAACAGATCACCTTGCAATATTTTTGAAACTACATTTCGAAAATGCTTCTAGGGGACCTGGATTTTGGCGCCTAAACACTTCACATCTCAGTGATGAGAAATATGTTAAAGGAGTTAAGTCTACAATACAAACTGTTGTTAGTGATTGTAATTACCTTGATGTATCCAAACAACTAGTTTGGGAAACTTGTAAGAAGAAGATTAAGGAGTTCTCTGACACCTATTCCAGGGCTAAAGCCTTTAAAGTGGATACAACACTTGAAAAGTTAGAAAAGAGACTTCAAGAACTAGAGAGTAAGTTAGATGATAAACTTGAAGACATTGTTCTAAACGAATACACTCAAATAAAGCTAAAATTGGAAAATATATATGAATATAAAGCAAAAGGAGCACAAATTAGAACTAGGGCAAAGTGGACAGAGAAGGGAGAAGAGTCTAACAAATTTTTCTTGAATCTTGAAAATACTCGACTCAAAACAAAATACCATTACTAAATTAAAGAATGGAAATGAAGAAGAGACAAATCCGTTTAAAATTTAGACTTGGAAGTAAACTTTACAAAAACCTGTACTGTTCTAAGAACCCTGTTACTGATGAACAGATTGATACTTTTCTTGAGTCTGTTGAGGTACCCTCTACTCACAGATGAGGAAATGCTACTGTTAGATGAACCTATAACTAAAATGAATAGTTTCGCAGCATTGAAAGCGATTAGCCAAAACAAAGCGCCTGGAATTGATGGCCTTCCTACCGAATTTTATCTGAAATTCTGGGATGAAGTAGGAGACTTGGTCTTCGAATCCCTGTGTGAAGCAATTGAAAGCAAATACCTTTCTGTGTCCCAGAAGAGAGCTTTGTTAAAACTTATTCACAAAAAGGGGGATAAGACTAACTTATCCAACTGGAGACCAATTAGTTTGTTGAACACTGACTACAAGATACTAGCTGTGGTATTAGCAAGACGAATGCAGAGTTTCTTACCGAAACTAATTTCAGAAGAT